TGGCCACCAGCCGGGTATTTGGGGAAGCCCATGTTTTTTTGTGTTTTTTTTCATTTAAGTGAGATAAATCAAAGAAAATATGAGGGGAATAGCATCTACTATAGGATTTTCCCCCAGACCTTTTTTTTTTTCTTTTTAGTAGCTTTATCTCTGAGCTGCTGTGCCCAAGACATACCAACTCACTGGGCCACATTTAGAGTAATTAACAGTCTGTTTCCTTTACGCTCATTTGTTGTAGGATGTCCAGCCACACAGAATCTCCGGCAGGCATTTTTGGTGATTGTGAAGAGGTATCTCTTGAATTCTGTGAGCAAGTTGTCTTGAACAAGGGCATCTGCCATCGTCCTCCTCCAGGGCGTGGGTCTCACCAGAGATGTCTTTCACCAGAATCCCAACCCAAACCCTTTACAATAATCAGTAGCTTGTGAAGCATCAAAGGACATTAAACATTTGTGATCATGGGAACGTGACCGTTGACCTATTCCTAGAAATAGGCTGCAATGCACACCAGGATACTGGACTCCCTCGCTTAAGTGGAGAAAATTCTAAAACTGAGCACCTTCCTGATGATGGCAGGACTGGTCAGGCTGCGGTCATTTGATGGATTTGAGTAGGATGGGAAAACAACAGAAGTAATGAGAAGCCCAATTCCTTTTCACTTCTCACATGCCAACGTGATTTTAGAAAATGAAGACAAACCGTTCATTGTGGGATTTCTTCTTACTTTAGAAGGAAACTTCCTCAGGTGAGAGCAGGGACCTCCTTTTCCTTCCGTAAGGACCTGCACTGGATGTTTTCTCGTGAAACAGGTAGCTGTGCCCACACACTCGCCCTGGTGTACTGTCTGCAGAGGACCAGCCTCACCGCTTTCTCTCTTCCAGAAACATCCTTTCGAAACTGGATCCTTCATCCAAATGAAGGAAATATTCTATATCCTCCCTAACGTCCATCTACAGCTGCCTTTCCCGTGGACCTCTGTTCTCTCTGAAATCCAGAAATGGAAGATGCTTTTGAAAACTTGCACCTTTTCAAAATAGTGACTCTGGGTGCCCTCTGCTGGTACTCTAAGTTCTTCAGCTGTATACTAGTGACAGCAAAGCAGGAAGCCGGGCAAGAATTATTGAAAACAAACAAACATATACACACATTTATGCATTTATATATATGAATGTATATGTATACATGTATATTTTAACCTTTTTTGCTCAGAGGTCCCTTTGAGGAAAGGAATCGGGGAAGATGAGGAAGGTAAGCATCACTGATTCTGCAATGCATTTCCCAGGCAGCCTGCAGATGAGAGACCAAGATGCCCTGCAGCCCTCTGGCCGACTCAGGGACTCCCGGGCATGTTCCTCTGGAGCCTGATTAAATGGGGTCTCCTCTCCCGGAGCAGCCAGCCTGGCAGTGTTCCAGCTGTACCACCGTGATTAGCAGCCAAGCTTGGTTGGGGTTCTTTATTTCCCTCTGGGTCTCCCTTCCCCAACCCCACCTTTAATCCCTGTGGCAATGCTGCCTCTGAGGCCCTTGGAGGTCAGAAGAAGGGTCGTGGAGCAAAGCTGGCAAGTAGGCGGAGTGTGCACTGCAGCACCATTTTCATCTTTCATGAACAGCGTGGACATTTCACCTGGATCCCTTGTGCTCTGCCCCTACACTGCTTCCTCCCCCAGTCACTTCCAACTCAGATTAACTGAGTGCTTGGAAATAGTGGGGGGCAATGCCAGAGTCAGACCTGGAAGAGAGGGAGTGGGGCCAGTATGTTAATGCACTAGCAGCCCACGCCCCCTTCTCAGGCATTCCATTTATCTGGACTTGACTCTGTCGTATGTAAGACTGAGATAAAAAAAGAATGACCAGTTTATGAAAAACGTGTGAAGTACTTAAAAGCGTATCATGGCAGACTATACCTTTTAACTAAAGTCTGCTGTTAATTCATTCACTCTTACAACAAATACTAAGGCCCCATGATATGTATAATATGCTACATAGGCACTTTGGGATCATTTAAAACAAATGTAGACTACTGTGGCCTTCAGGAGACACCATAGATACTTAGAGAGAAAACTTCTGTGACAACACCAGGCAATGGACTTTACGTGTCAAAATCAGTGACATACACAATTGGTGCTGTGAAAGGCGAGGAAAGGTCCTCCGCTATCTTTGCCACAAGATGACGTGAGTATTGCCCGGGACTTATTACTTATCCCAATTGTGATCATGTGGTCATTGGCTCACTTATCTGTTTAATCTCTGCTCCTCTTGCAGAATGCAAGCTCCATAAGAACAGAGCACTTTTTAATCCCGTTGTTTTGATTCCATGTTAGCAAATAAAAAATATTTCAATCAGAATTACAATATCAATTTTTGTTCATTTATATTTTTAAAGTAATGCCATTAAAGCCAACTTAATTCCTTGATCCATTTTAAATGCAATATATTCAAGCCATTTCCTTTAAATTTTTTTTGTTTCATTTTTTTCTGAAATATTTCCATTGAAATCAATTCACAATGATTTGGTTCACCACGTATTTTTTTATGCATAATGCATAGCAAATGTGATTGATCACAGCTTCTGCCATTGTGATTTTTTTAAATGGATATTTTATGTATTGAGTTTAATTTTCTCAAATCTGTAGATTTTAAAATGCTATAAATTTGAATCTTGGGTTATTTTTTTCAAGCCCTGTGCAGTTTGCCTTTGTTTACATGTGTGTATGTGTGTGTGTGTGTGTGTGTGTGTGTGTGTGTGTGTGTAGATGATGGGGCCCTGGCTGAGGTTCTACCATCAATGGCCAGAAATATTAAGTGAGGAAGTCTACAGTTCCAGCCCTCATCTGACTACAACCACGAGATCCTTTGTAAGGACTGCCTGGTGGAGCCCAGCCAAATCCAAGGAGAATGAGAAATGATAAAATGACTGTTGTTGTTTTAAGCCACTAAATTTTGGAGTGCTTTTGACACAGCAGCAGATAACCAACACTGTCCTGACATGACCTAATTAAAGAGATATCCTTTCGTCTCTTTCTCATACTGTGTGTACTCACCAGGATGAGCTTTGGATTCAGGAGCAATAGACATTTACAATAAGTGAAAACACTCTACAAAGGCACATACAGAATTAGGGAATAAGATGTCCTGTCCAGTGAAATAGTCTCATTTAAAGAATAAGAACATGCTTCAGGCAAATTGCTGAAGAGTAGGTAGGTGCTTTAGGCAAGTTATTGAATGCAAAGAAACACCACTTTACAAAGAAATCAAAGAATAAAATGCTCACTATAAACTGAACATGCTTTTTCTTTGACTTTTTTTAGCCTTCAGAATCATTACTATTTTGGGGTGAATGTTAGGCATATTGGTTACCTCTGTGCTAAGCTGCCCCCTCAGTAAGGCTTCTGGTGACAGGTCACATAGCCCAGTTCTCACGGTGGACAGAGCACTAGCTGCCCGCTGCACAGAGCAGCCAGGCTGGGCAGGTCACTGCTGCTATTCATCACTCACAAAATTCTTTTTTGTTGTTTTTTGCTAATGAATGGCTGTTAACTCTAACAACCAGGGCCACACCCAGGGTCATTTGAATGCTCTTTGTGCATGCTGGAGAAGGTAAATGATAAGGTGGGGGACAGGAAGCATACCCTGTTATTCCCTAGGACTTTGAAGGTAGAGAAGTCCAAATGGGTGTGTGTGTGTGTGTGTGTGTGTGTGTGTGTGTGAGTGTGTGTGTGTTTGCCAAACACAAGACACATAAGATGCAATTAAGAGTTTGTCGACACCCTGGATGGTTTGGCTCAGTGAATAGAACACTGGCTTGCAGATCGAAGGGTCCCAGCTTTGATTCTGGTCAAGGGGACGTACCTCAGTTGCAGCCTCCTCCCTGCCAAGGCCCCTGCAGTAGGCAATCAATCAATGTGTTTCTCTCACATTGATATTTCTCTCTTTCCCTGTCTCTTCCACTGTCTCTAAAAATTTATAAAAAAATATCCTCAGGTGAGGATTTAAAAAAAAAAGATTCTGTGAAGGCAGAGAATTTTCTTTAAAGGGGGCTACCAATGTTTCACAGAGCATAAGCAAAGAAATTCTTTTGGTATTTCTGAGCAGGAGGAAGAATTAATTTGTTTATATAATTCTTCAACTAGGTGCAAATAATGGCAATGCTACCGACAGTAACATAGTTACTGTTCGCATAGCATGTACTTTGTACCAGGCACTGTCCTGCAATGTCATCTATCTCATTCCATCTTCACAGCAAGCCTGGGAGGTGGGCACTATGCTATCTCTGGTCTCACAAGTAAGGAAGCTGAGGTGCGCCCATGCCCCACAGTGAGCCGTGGAGCCCTTAATATCCTGTCTCTGAAGAGATTCTCCCTTTTCTTCTCTGAAGAGACATAATGTGGTACAAGAGGGAGGGTACGAGACTAGGAATCTGGATTTGAACTTCAGCTCTAACGCAAACTAACTATCCCAATTTGGCAACTCATTTCCTCAACCTGAAAGATGAGGCTCAGAAGATTCCTCCTTCTCTAAAATGTCTGATTCTGTGAACAATTCTTGCCTCAGAATATTGATAAAGTTCTGGTCAGCACCGAGGAGTCGCAGCCCTCGAGGAAGGCGGCTGAGGCTCGAACATCACCTCGGCCTTCGGAACACCAGGCCCAACCCACCAGGTGCTGCATTTCAGACAGTAAGTAACGGGTCAGTGTGAGGAAGTGCTGACCTGCTGTTGTGATGCATTTATTTTTTACCAAAAATAAAAATCCATAAAGAGAAAAGAGAAACCCATTAACAAACTAGATGAACTATAGAAACAAATACAGTACTTATGACCCACATAGAAAACTAAGCAATCCAGAGAGCATTATGTGGTTTTCACTGGTACTTATTTTGAAAAGCACATGGCTTGCCCATGACCAAAGCAGTCATCATTTGAATGTTGGCTTACTGACTAGTTCCGAGAGCTAAATTCTGGCTTTGTTTGTACTGCTGAGAAAACAAAACATAATCCTAAGAAGTTTTTGGAACCGTTTTTATTTTTCTTAATTTTTGAGAAAATTTGACCCTACTGAAACTTGAATGAAAAATTCAAATCAATACACGATGCCTACAGGCACTCTTATTTTACAGATGGCAAATGAGGGCCCACGTACCTTTGTTTGGGGTCACGGGTAAATGATGACAGAAGCAGTGAGAAAATCCTGAGCTACTTCCCAGCACGGTGGCCTTGGGGTTCAGAATGTCTGAATTCAGCAAGTAACCATCTCCTCAGTTAGTCAGAACTGACCGTGTACAGTGAAATTCCCTCCACTTTTGCTTATCAGGTGCACGGGTGCTGGAAGCTGGACTGCAGGCTCTGACTATATTCCTTCAAGGATCCTCAGCAGTTGACCAGAACAAGCCTTTCTGAGGGAGCTCAGCTTTTTGACCCTTGTATCTAGACCTCAAATGGATTAACTTCCCAGGTCAGCAAGCCAGCACTCAATGAACCCGGACATTAAGGAGACCAGATGCTAGTACAGAGTCCACTGGAGTTCGGTGCCTGATTTCTTAGGATGCCAATAACTCACTACAAGCAAGTCCCCTCCACCTCAGACCCACCCCACGGGGGGATGGACTAAAGGTTACTCAGCCCACAAGGACTGGCTGAGTGGCTGGAAGGTCCGGCGGCTAACTGTCCTCTTGTTTATGAGTACCATGTGGGACTTCAGTTGTTTGGGGGTGTGGCAGAGCAGAGCATCCAAACTGTGAGTGGTGACCTGGCCGTTTATGTGCAGTTTCCCATAGAGCTCGTCAAAGGTGGCCAGAAGGGCAGGCACATCCTTCACTTTTCTCCTCACTTTAGCCAGCTGGAAAAACACAAAAAAGCAAATCATTACATCTACGGAAGATTCTTCCCTTGTTCTTTCTATCCTCCAAGAAGCAGGGACAGAAATGTAAGCGTGTACCTAAAGAGGTACCAGGGTACTGGGGGGGGGACACAGAGGTATGACTAGCTTCAGGGACTCCACAAGCTACACACAAAATTCAGAATTAGTGCTTGAAAATCATGCCCAATGTCTTTTAAAAGTGGGGGGAGAGGGTTAAATGGTACAAATGGAACAAGTTTACCCAATTTAATGACCAGAACAGGAAGCAGGGCCAAATTACATAGGGCTTTATAGTGCATGGTAAGTTTGTTTTTTGTGTCTGCATTTTTTCAGAGATTGAAAATCTTTAAAAAAACAACAACAACACATTTTATGTTAGGTTAGGAACACTTTCCATTCTGGTGTTTTTCAGTGTGTTTAGGTGAGAATGAAGACACCTTCAGTCTTGGGAGACAGACTGAATGTGCGGATTCTCACAAGAAGAGGTGAGGCCATGTCCCTGTTACTCAGTGTCCTGCTGGCCAAGGTTAATGACAGAAAACAAGTATGAGGGACTTCTGTACCCCAGAGTACATGCAGCTCTACAGGCCGCTTGCTTTTCCTTTGCACCCTCTTCCCTCTGGCCTGGTTTTCCTCCTCCCACTTCCTGCAATCATCACTTGCATGTTGGCTTTGGTGTTGCCCATGGTAAGTTCTTTGGAATTTATTCTAAAAGCCATCAGAGGGTCCAAACTGGGACATGATCTGATTTCGGTTTATAATAAAGCTGTGTGGAGAACTGGTGGGTATGAGAATGTGGAGACTGATCTGGAGGCCCCCACATTAGCCCAGATGAGAGGATGATGTACTGGGAAACGTATAGCAGAGATGGAGTAGATGTATGTGAGGTACATTTTAGATTTAAACTTTTAAAAATTTATTGTTGAGGGGGTGAAGGAAAGGGAGGAATCAAAGACATCTTCCCAACTTGGGCTCTATAACTTGGTGATGGGTGATGTCATTAGCTGAGATGGGAAGATGGGAGGACAGATCTGCAGAGGGAAAATCAAGAGTTCTGTTTTGGGCATGACTTGGATTCCTCGAAACATGTAGGTGGAAATGTCAAGAGGTTGTTGGATATGTAAGAATGAAGCATGGAGGATAGGTCTAGACCACAGGTATAAATATTAGAGTCATAAGTATATGAATGATATTTAATTCTACAAAAATGGGTGAGCTCTAAATTAGAATGTGAAGCTACTTTCTGAACAAATTAACATTTTGTTTAGTTCAATACTTATTAACAATATAACCTAACAATATTTCTTGATGAAAATTTAATTGTAATCAAGGTCCCTACCATACTAGTATCCTTTGGTCATCTTCTAAATACATCATAACCCTGCACACCTTCCTTCCAACAAGGTCTCCCCACTGAACTGTCAGATAAGAAGTTTAAGCACTTCTTAATGTTCTTAAAAAGAACTGGTGCCCTGGAGTGGGTCGGAGGGGATGAGCTCCAGGGCACAACTGGGAGCGGCCGCTACGGCTTCGGGGGGGAAAGCTGAGCAGACAGGGAGAGCACAAGAAGGCTGTCGATGGGCAGCACTTCTCCTCTGATTGCTCCTGTTTCCTCCACGAGGCAGGAAACAAGCTCATCAACTGAGAGTGAAGAGTGGGGAGAAGGGATTGGAGGCTTGAGGAGAGAGGAATAAGAGGGCTGGGACCCATGAAAACAGTGTGGGGGAAGAATAATGTAAAGGGGAAAAGTTTTCCTAGCATTTTAGAGGATATATTATGCTTGAAGGAAAAAATCTTTGTACCCACAGAGAGAAGCCTGACAATAGGAACAACAGAGAGGTTGCCCTATGTGACCATCTCTCTAAGGAGGTGGCCTTCCCTGGGTTTTGTTTTTTAAAGATTTTTTTATTGATTTTTCTAGAGAGAGAGGAAGGGAAAAGGAGAGAGAGAGAGAGAGGGAGGGAGGAGGGAGAGAGAGAGAGAGAGAGAGAGAGAGAGAGAGAGAGAGAGAGAGAGAGAGAGAAACATCGATGTGAGATCAAAACATAGATTGGCTGCCTTTTGCACACCCACTACTGGGGATCAAGCCCGCAACCCAAGTATATGCCCTGACTGGGAATCCAACTGGCAACCCTTCGGTGCACAGGACAACACCCAACCAACTGAGCCACACCAGCCAGGACAAGGAGGGGCCTTTTTAAAGTGTGCCCTTCACCTTTTAATGATTTCTGCAGCAACCACATACTTACCACTTCTTCTGAGAACTTAAGTTTTTTCACAAATTTTGATACATTTTCCTCTGTGGCATCCTTTAGTATCTCTATCAGGGTTTTCAACATATTTGACTGAATATGGATCATAAGCTGAATAAAAAAAAGACAAGTAAAACAAAACTGAGCCAGTTACAGAAGCCTATATTTATAGGCATCTACCCCGTTTTCATGCTATTTCCTAACCATTTGCTTGCACAAGTTCAAAAAAAATCCTTCAAATGCATGTCCGCCAGCAAAAACTTGTTTTCCAGGGATAAATCAAAATGCCACAAATGCAACACTTGCCTAAGGATAGAAATGGAGAGAACACAGATTTGGGGCTGGATTCCCAGCACTGGCAATTATTAGCTGTGTGACACTGGCCGGTACTTAATCTCTCTTTCAATTTCTTTATTTGTAAAATGAGGGGGGGGGAAACTTTACATCTCACATTTTTAGTTACTGTGGACATTAAATAAAATGCTAGCACACAGAAGGTTTACCCAAGTGACATTACTATCACTTTCTTCCTATAGCCTCTAGATTCGGAGGCTCTGACAATCAGACAATCTCGGCTCTCGGGTAAATGATACCTTTACCTTTTTTCATTTATTAATTTTTGGTTGAGAAATTCCAGGAGAATAGGCTGTTGCAGGTAACAGTGGGAGCTGGTTAAAATCCTAGTGAGGCACCTCTATTTAGGAACTTTCAAAACTGGGTACTGCACCTGGCTTTCAAAATGATATTACTAACTGCCTTCCATCAGACAGAAACAACATAAGAGAAAAGCAACACATTTCCCCCTTATCACCAATATTTATTAGAACAATTGGAAAAATATAGAAAAGTTTAAATAAAATGAGAATAACTCAGAATTTATGTAATTTAATGCATTATCTTCCAAATATATTAATTTTCCCCAGATTTTGATTCTTCTTTTTATCAATTATCACACAAAGAGCATTATCTTACAACATTAAAAAGACATTTTAGAACAAAAGAACACCTCTTTTATAATGATGAATGTGCATGTATAGCAATTCATCATATAAATAAAATAATGCACCAAACAAATTAGCACCATGCTTTATCATATTGATAAATGTGCATGCATTTTTAAAAAATAAACTTAATTTCTCAGACTTAATTCCCAGAAGTGAAATTACAAAGTCAAAAGCTATAAACATTTTTAAGGCTCTTGATCCTTAGGAAAGGTAATTTTTTTGGAAGAGATATTCCTTTTATATACCAAACCAGCTAAGTTCTCTCAATAGTCCATTTCTAACATTTTATGTTTGTTGAGCTACTGAATAGGATAAGGGGTTACCTTTGGTCCTGCAGAACCGCATGGAATGATCCTAAGTAGACTAAATCCCAAGGCCCTGATCTAAGTTCAGTGTCCCAAAGCATAGGCAAAATCATGAGCATACCCTCTCTTGGGAGACAACCATCCAGGGTCTCTCACATTTGAGCAGAAGCACTGATAGCCTTTTTTCCAAACTATCTTCTCAAGGATGTTTGCATAACCAACAGTCTGGGAAGACAGACACAGTGTCTCACCCAGAGCAAAGGGCAGGGATGCTTACTGCCCATTATAACAGATTTGGGTTCCCCAAATTCAGGGTTCCTCTCTTAAAATGTAAGACCCAGTGTGTACAAGAGGCATATACTGTAGACCTCTTCACATCACCCCATGTAACTGAGGCTCAGGGAACTGATGCAAAAATGCTAATATTCTTGCTATTCCTATTGCTGTGCGTAAACAACATCCTCACTTCCTGACGTCTCATATACTCTACCAGCACCCAAACCTTAGCAAGATAACTCATAATTTGGAAGGAGGGTAAAATCGCCACTCTTAATAGTTCTTAACACCCTTGTTAATAAAAACTGAAATTGGTTGGCAGTGGACTGTTCTATTGAAATCAAAGACAAATCTACTTTTATTAAATGCAACATCTCCAGTGCCTGGCACCTGGTAGACCCTCAAACTAATGAAGAAGGGGAGCACGCCATTTTCAATGATAAACCTCCTGGAGCTCCATACTACAAACTTTTAATGATGTGCTCCTGTAAGATTTCAACTTTTCTTCCTCTTTTTTCCTAATTTCTCTCCTTGTCTCCAACAACTATCTCTGATTCAGTAGGGATTTCCAGAGTAAGGTTCAATACCTTATGAATATACTGATGAAGGGCAATATGGATGAGGCAGTTACTGATGAAAGACAAAGAGAACATTTGAAGCTAGGAGCTTGTTTCAAACTGAGGTCTCAGGGTGCAATTAAGAAAAGCTAAAGCAGGGCACAGCACATTGCTTTAATCTTACAGATGTCAAACAAAAGGCTAGGAAAATTGAATTAGCAAGGAGTAAGGGAAACTTGGGTAAGAAAAACTATTAAAAGAACACATACTTCTGATTTTCTGAGGCTTTGGGAAATGCTGACAAATCATCAGATACCGTTGACCAAAAAGAAGCCCTAGCCATGCCAGAAATTTGCATTTCTTTATTCTTTTTTTTTTTTTAAAGTTTGCTATATTTGAAGTAGAATATCATAGCATGGTAGAGACTGCTATAAACAATATCTATTCGCCCTTCTTTTTTTGATGACAGAACCCCCTAATTTTAACTGATGCTGTGACGTATGGAACTCAAAGGCTCTACTTCTCAGGTTTCTTTGCAACTAGGTGAGGTCATGGAATTAAGTTCTGGACAATAACTTATAAATACCAATTTTTGGTTGAGACAACTAGGAAAGCACTCTTAAAAGGTGGTAACTTCTTTGTCCTCTCCAGTCTTCCTACTTCTTGCTGGAATAGCAACACAATGGATGGAAGTCCTGTGCTTAGGATGGTGGTGTGGAAATACAGAGAGAGGCTGGGTCCCTCAGGATATCAAGGAATGTCACACCAGACCTAGACTGACCACCTCTGGCTTTCTACCTGAGACAAAGAGAAAACCTCTAATTTGTACAGACTCTTGTGTTTTTAGAGTCTACATTGCTCCCACCCAAAAGCAATTCTTTATGCGTACAGGTGAGGTGCTGCCACAACAGGCTTTATGAGCAGTGAGTCCTGTCTCCTTTCCTACCTGTGCAGCCTAAAGGACTTCCCCGCATGAGCCAGAACTTTAGGGTGACCTTGGTGAGTAGTAGAAAAGGGCATTAAAGCATTCACCTGTGTCAATAAATAAATGATAAAAGCAGCAAAACTAACCACTTGTCAATTCCCTTGCAAGGTAATTCAATTCCAAAATTAGTCTCCATCTGGAGACTACCAGATTTCTAGAGAAATGATCAGAAATAAAATAGAATCAGTGGAAAGTTACCCTGTGTTGGTATCTGATACTTTCAGACATATTTGAAAGTATAAATTAATCCTTTGATACTGAACAGTGTTGCTAAAGATGGGGCCATAGTTCTTTTGAGATGCATGGGTTTAAATTTAGACTAAAAGGGCAAAGTCAACATAGATGTGCTTTGATTTTATCTGCTAAATTAGTTCAATATGTAACACATATAGCTGGGCAAATGGGAAACCAGATCCTCTGGGTCATATTGGCAGCAGGAGCAATTTCAATAAAAAGAAATTGAGGGGGAATAATTGGGTAAATGCAAATTCCAATTGGCAGCAGAGAAAGATTTTAGTATAAGGCGTAATTTTTAAAGTAGATCAGGAAAAAAAACTTCATTTATTCCTGCTATTACTGATTGAACAGACTCTCTACTCAGCCAACTTGTCAGGTTTCCATTTCTTAAAAATTAACAAATTTCCCTTAAGGATTCCAAGTAGATGACTCAGTCTTGGAGAAGCTAGGCCCATTAAATCATTTTTTTCAAAAAACCTGTTCTAATAACAGATACCCAGAATCTGAAAGATTATTAAATCTGAGAATGTCAGCCATCTCTTTTTTCATCAGTCCTGAGGAAGATGAAATAGGCTTATATTGAAATATGAGAAATTTAGATTGGACATTTGGAAAAATTTCCCAAGTGAAAATTTTTAAACAATAAAACTATCTTTAAATTTCCTGACAACAGATAAATCTGTGACCCAATCAAGATGATTCATAGTCAAGATCAGCTCAAGGTTCCTCATAACGTCCTTGCCTGAATCATGCCCATTCCACCACATTTACCAGCTGCCTTTCCTTCCAGCTCTCAGAGAAAAGGGGCTGGTCCAGCGCCTGGCTCTTGAGTGCGCTCCCCACCTCGCTCAGATTTCTCCTCCTGTTGTGAGTGGACAGCTTCACTCTCAACAGGCTCATGTTTTACTTCCACCAAAGCACTTTCTCATTTGGAAAAAAAAATTACTACATTTTCATAACAACTGAGAGAGATAGTCAAGGCCTGAACTAGACGAGGACTCTAAAGGCATGGGCACGGAATATGTGCACGAAAGCAGATTCCATTTTTGACTTCCAGTCCTGTATTCTTTTCATTATTCAGGAGGAGCTGAGAGAGCAGTCCCGGAGAAGAGACATGCCCTTATCCCTGCAGGTCTGGAGCGGGGGGACCCTGGGATTTGCAGTCAAACAGATTTGTTGGTGTTAAAACTCTGACTCTGCTATGTAATTAACTGTGAGAACTTGGGTAATTTACTTATCCTTTGAATCGTCATTTTCACATGTATAATATGGAGACATATAGTCCTGACAATGTTGTATAAAGTGAACCAACAAATATAAAGTATATAGGATGGTACCTTAGCTAAATTATATTAAAATCCTGCCAATCTCACTCCCTTCAACGTCTCACCACCAATCATTGATCCCCACAAACTCACATCAACTCTAATAGTCCACATAAAACTCCACTCACCACACTCGCCTGTATTTCCTTCCTATGATGCTATGAACCACTTGGAATCCTAGCAATTCTACTCCTGTCCAATCATGAAATGAGGGTATCTGCAGGCCACTCTCTCTCTCAGAAGCAGTTACATACTTGGGATCCCCAGAGCTGTCCATATCCAGTAGTAAGCAGAGAAGGTAAAATACATATGGCACCTGCTGGCAGAGGAGGCCCCCAAGTCTGTTTGGCTTACTGGCTGCCCAAATAGCCTGACTTCTGGACTTGGGACCTTTGCCACTTTGGCCTCCCAGACCTGCTTGAGCCTATGAGCTTTTCAGGCTTACCCACCCACTCTGACCTGTCTGCTTAGACACCCAGTCTTGGGAAAGGAAGGGATAGGTGACTCTATTCACCAGGGCAGATGGGCCATGGCTAGCTAGCAGCATGAGAATGAACACAGACAACCTTTATTGAGTGAGCACTATTTTATGCAGTACAGATATACTCCATGAGTTACGTACATGGATAGGATACAATTTGCACACAGGTTTCTCTCAAGTCTTGGTAAAGAGACTGGAGGGTCTATTTCCCTTCTCTCTATATCTACCACTTTCTGTAGTCATGTGTTAATGCCTGTAGCATTTAGCCATGTCTAATACCTAAGCATATCCACATTTCCCACCTATTAACAAACTCCCGGAAGCAAAGGTTGTGTTGACTCCTCTCACAGGGGCCATACTGTAACTTTCACAGAGCTCAATAAATGAATAAATTGAATGAAGCCCTTGGGAGATCAAGTCATTATACACAGAGAAAAACTCTAAACATCATTTTAGTACATTTCTAGCCTTTCTTTAAACCATAAAGAAGTCACTTACATTTAAATTAGCGCAGATTATGCTTTCTGGCTTCATGATTTGAGAAAAAATGGATGTAGCTTTTTCCACTTGGTTCTAGAAAGAAGAAAAACAAATCATACCCTAAGTCACATGAACATTACCGTGCTATCATAAAGATCATTTAAAGACGTCGGGATAGTCCTATTCGTGGTGCACCAGGGTTTTGAGATCCACAAAGAAAAAGAGATTTTTGGTAATCAAGAATGCACATTCTATAAAATGTGTCCAACAGTGTCATGTTACTAAATGTTTTAACACCCTACCAAAGTTACAATTTTTAAGAGGGAGGTATAAAGTTTACATTTCCCCTTCTCCCACTGGAATGAGCTTTAAAAACAACAACACACCCATCTTTGACAATCTCTGACATAATTAGAACATAGCAGAAACCTCAGACCAGAGAAGAGGTGGGAATCCTGGAGATGGAGCACAGGTTGTCTAAAGAAGTAAGAGGAGACCACTGCTGCCTTTCTCAGAAGGAGCCCACAGAGTAATTCTCAGAGGTGAGGGGCACAACCTGAAGTACAAAACCTAAATTCCCATTTACAATGATGTAACAGAGTTTAGGACTAGTAATGACAAGTTCTCTGGATCCTTTTGGTGGCAAAGATGAAGCTAATCAAGGACTTACGTAGATAAGCCATATTTGCAGGAAGCAGTATGTCACTATGGCAGCAGCAAAGAGACTTTTCATTGAAAACCAATTCCATGCCCATTCCCAATGGCCAGGGAGAATAAAGCCTGTGCATATTTGTAGCATAAAGTAGTTCACATTTTCTTAGGCTTTGGAGTAGGACATCTTGGGAGGGGCTCTTCAAGGGAGGTGTTCCAGGGTTCCAGCTTTAACTGTCCTTCACTGAGGTGTGAAGACAGGGAGGTCCTGTCTTCTCTCTGGGCCTCAGCTGTTTCCATTTGTCCGGTGAGAGGGGGAGGCTAAAAGATCACTCAAGTCTCTTCCAAATAAGAGTATTTGGGGCTAACTATGAACTACTAGTATATGATGGACCCAATTCTACAATGGGCTCATTGTGGGAGTCCTCAGTCATCTGAGGTGTTTCAGCTTTGGAGAACATTAAATTACACTTTCTCTAAGAACATCATATAGTAAATAGATTACTTAAAATTTTCATTTTCATTACTTGAGAAATTTCTCTCAGAGGCCAGCTTCCCCCTTTGATTCTTCACAGGATCTTAGCCAGTCCCTTCAAAATAGCAATGCATGTCATGCCCTTAACTGTAAATGGAAACACTCTTCGGAGGCATAGGTATAGATGCAGGTTGCAATGGCACCAAAGGCATTGGTCTCTTTATTTTCTTTGATACGGCCAGAAGGGAAAAATAAATAAAAGAAATGAACGCGGTAACATCCTTCCCATTCCCAATTCAGGTATGGACACCCCGAAGCCTTACCTGATTCAGAGCTAGTGCCACAGCAAAATAGCATGCTCTCCTGGCAAGGACTTCTCCTTTGATTAGGGCTTCTTCCCTTAATGTGGTGCAGACTTTAAAAGACTCAGGGCTATTCTAGAAGGAGATGGGATTGCTCAATCAATAAATGCCATGAAGTTTTAAGTTGAATAAAATGATTAACAGTGCTCAGTATTTCAGATTTCCTTTTGCAAGAAGATCCCAGAGCCTACCTCAAGCCTATTAAATGATTAAGATCCATATAGAGACTATTTGCAAATAGACCAGGTTATCTATATGTTAGTAGCTCAAATCTAAACTAACTTTATTTTTAAAGTTCTTTGTCAATTTTCTGACTTGGGGCAGTTTCACCAGCAAACATACAGGTCTCTTTGTATCTGGGTGGATGGGTTTTTAGACATCAGTCCCATAACATAAGAGTATAAAGATTTGGCCTACTACCATATCACGTAATAGAGGAAAGCTCAGCAACACAGGACAACTTTTCCTGAGGGGATTTCCAATCTGAAAATATCCACATAAGTCAAATATCTGAAAACATGAACACCAATTTGAACATTAATCATGAAAGAATCCCAGATAATCAGAAAACTTAAAAACAAACAAACAAACAAAAACCCCTCCAAGAATGTGACTGAAGCACAAGCCAGCAGACAGCAATGGGAAAGCTGAATCCTCTCCTTGGTTCATGCTATAGGTGGACTAGGCTATGAGAGCGGCATCAGCTTTGCATCTATGTACAACTGACATGACATAACTCACAACTCAAATCCTACAGTAAATCCTGAACTTGACGAGAGAGGACAGTTCCCAGAACTGGCTTGGAACTTGGAATGGCTGAGCAGTTCGATTTTCACTTCCAGATTCCTCTGAGTGAAACAAAAGTCCTCTGGCCCTCCGTCAGTGGTAGAAGTAAGTTCTCCCCACTTCAGTATACACTCAGGGAGGCCTCTCTAAGTAGGTCAGAAGACTGGGTGTCACCGTGCTGAATAGCTGACGCTCAAGTGCTGTGAGTTCTGCTGGCTTCTGTTTCACAGGATCTCAGAAAGGTGTGCTTGGTAAGGAGCATCTAAAAGCCCAGGGGCCAGCAAACTATGACCCTCAGGCCAAATCCAGCCTATGACTAACATGTTTTTTACCCTTTTAAGTTTATAAAAACACAAAAAATATGCGACAGAGACTGCATGCCTAAAATATTTATTATCTGGCCTTTCGCAGAGTAAGTTGGCTGACCCCTGAGTCCAAGCCCCTCATTTCACAAATGAGGAAAGTGACCAGGTTAAAGCCAGTTGATGCTAAAATTGAGACTAGACTCCAAGTTTCTCCATTTCCACGTTAGTTTTCTTTCCACTGCAACCCAACTACCTCTCTTGTTTGGGAAAACTGATACTGCTTCACCTTTCAGGGAAGTCCAGTGGCCCATGCTCTTCTACCTTGCCTGGTGTTCCTTTGTTTTCACATAAGAAGGTTTTGCTAAGTTTCCAGAGTTTAAATGGCATGAATGACTATAGTTAAGCATAGTCATTGAATCTTAAGTCAATGTACCATTTCAGTTATCATTCATTCATTCATTAAATAATGAAGAGAGTTTCTCTGTGTAAGAAACAATCCTGATACAGCAATGACATATGGACTTATAAGTCATGCTTTCCTCAGAGAGTTCATTTTAATGTCACATACATTTATTAAAGACTGGTTGTGTATCAGGCACGGTGTTAGGTGCTGGCATACCAAGAGGCCTCAAGGAGCTTACACTCTAGTGGTGCAACAGTGGGCAGTGTTACAAGTGTCACATACATGACAAATAGCGTAGCATTAGGGATGTTGGAGGAGATTCCAACTTAGGTGATTACAGATAAATTCACAGATGAGGACAAAGCAGCCCTTGAGTTTGCCAATGAAGGACGTAAGGTTTCCATGGAGAGGGCCACAGAGAAGACTGGCCTACCCGAGTCCAGCAAGAGCCTTATAACAAGACCACTCGAAAGCAGAGCTTGAGCCCAGCATACTGTTTCTTGTTTCACTATCTATACAATTGCCAGGGAAGGGTGACAGTAATGAAATTGCTTTTCCCATAATAAAACTGTCTGACATGGCTAACTTAAGTTTTCTAAAAATGAACACATTTAAAATGGAAATATCTGCACCAGATGGAAAACTGATTTCCGAGGAACTGAATTTTACTGCAGAGAAAAAAAAAACCAAATCCTTTTTCAAACACTATCCACAATGTTCTAAAGGTTAACAGGAGATAGTCTTACCAGTTTGTAGCAAATCGCAAAAGCAAGGACATAGGTATCTTTGCTGAACTTCACATCTTGGTTTTTCATCTCGATCAATACTTCCAAAGCACCTGCCGAAAGTCAGGAGAGGGCCGGCTCTTAAATATAGTCAAGTGAATTCAGAGTGCTCTACTGCTGATCCGCAGAGTTCTAATCAGCACCATCTACTAAAAGGTGTATTTAGCACAATAAAAGCTATTTATCAAAGTCATTTAGCAATGAACTACATTTCAAAATTAACGACACAGGAAGACCTAATATTTAAAAACCTATTATAATGTCAGCATAAGTAAAATCCGGGGTGTTTAGTTTAAGGCATGACATAAGATGCAACAATGTTTTCACACATAAAGAATGAGGTCTCCCTGATTCAGGTACTCTTCAGGAATGTTCAGGTCACGTTTGTGTGGGCCATTGCTTTTTCTAACAGGTACACAGGCAAAGAGAGCAGAATTTTTCAGCAAACATAAATTACAATACTTACTTTTATATTTTCCTTTGATAAATAACATGTCCATCAAAATATTGAATGACGTAGAGTCTGAGAAGAAACCTCGTAATTGCTAATGAAGAAAAACAATACAGTTTGTTTGAAAGTTAAAACTATTAAGGAATTAATATCCTTATCTGTCCAGGACTTATTTTTATGCACACCTTATTCATTGGGCCTCCTGAATTCTCTAATAAGTTTCTGATACACCAAGGATTTCTTTTACAAAAAAATTTAAATGCTGCCCACTCTATTGGGTGCTGTGCCTTTGGCAATGGGTATACTTAACAAGAGGCAAGAGGTCTGGTAAGAGATCTCTTCAGAAATACAATGAAAAACATATTCATGAACGGTGATTCTGCCATGTTTAGGAGAAAAGAAACAAGCCAATCAACACTGGTGGGGTGGTCCTGGGACCTGGGTGGCAGCATAACAACATGAAATGGCAGCTAGAAGTACGGTTGAGGACTAAGGCAGGAATGTCTAAAGCCATGGTCAGCAAACTGCGGCTCGCGAGCCACATGCGGCTCTTTGGCCCCTTGAGTGTGGCTCTTCCTAAGCCTTAGGAGTACCCTAATTAAGTTAATAACAATGTACCTACCTATATAGTTTAAGTTTAAAAAATTTGGCTCTCAAAAGAAATTTCAATCGTTGTACTGTTGATATTTTGCTCTGTTGACTAATGAGTTTGCTGACCACTGGTAAAGTACCTTCTTTTGGCAAACAAAACAGAGCTGATTGTTCACTTTTTGAAATAATTCACTTTAGTCATCATAATTATTATCTAGTGAATAATTATTCACTAAAACATTTTTAAATGTTCTCAACAGGTTCCCTCAGCACCTTGAATGCCATGCTATCAAATGTGCCGCTGGATGCCTTGCTCCGTTTGTCCTTTCTGAGAGCCCACTATGCGGCTCCTGTCTCGGTGCTGAGAGCAAAAAGTGACACACAAGACACAGAGCCTGCGCTGAACACCAGTGGGCTTATCACCTGTGGAGCTTAACTTAAAGTCTCAATAGGAGCCATGAAGAAGAATGGAACAGGACAGAGGGGTGGAGCACGTGATGGGAGGGGATCAGGGAAGGCTCTCTGAGAAGAGACCTTCATGCAGTAAAGGAGAAAGGCTCAGTGATGCAGGTGTAGAGCATTCCAGTCTCAGGTCAGGAGCTTGGCACGTCTGAGAAAGAACAAGGTCCAGAATGAAGTGGGCCGGGGTGGTGGCAGGAGATGAGACACCATAAAGGGCCCATTAGATAATGATGAGGGGTCTGAGTTCTATTCTAAGTGGGATGGGAAGCCATCAGAGCACCCCTGTCCATAGAAAAATACTGCAAGCCACAAGGGCAAGCTATGTATGCTATTCTAAATTTTCAAGTAGCCTCATTTAAAAAAGTAAAAAATACGTAAAATCAGTTTTAATAAAGTAACTTAATGCACTAAATCCAAAATATAATTTCAACATGTAATCAATACTAAAAAAAACATTAAAAAGTACTTTTCATTCTTCTTTTTATATCAAATATCTGAAATACACCATGTACAGGGTGGGGCAAAAGTAGTTTTACAGTTGTAAGTACGCAAAACACAGTTTATTCCTGTATCATTATTTATTATTATTTTCCAAATGAGCAACTGTAAACCTACTTTTATACATATAGTCACAGTCCAAGGGCTCCAGAGATACATGTGGCTAGTGGCTACCGCACTGGCCACACCACAGGATTCTGGGAGGGGACATAACAAGTTAGGAGGAAGCAGGATTAGGTTTTATGTCATTTGACTGGAATCCAGTTTATCCCACTCCAGGAAGCTCACCCATTCATGAATGTTTCACACATAGGTAACTAAAAACTGTAACAAAACTTTACATTCACTTTCTATTTGTTTTTATCACTATACTCATGGCTATGATTTATTATAGTAAAACTTTTGTTTTCTTTAAATTACAACATTAAGACCTGCTTATTGTAAAATAGTCAAACAATACAGAACTGTTTAAAGTAAAAAATGAGAATTTCCTACACTTTTATCCCCTAAAGATAAGCAGCAGTTCAGTGTCTATCCTTCCATATTTTTAATACATATACACTGAAATGTAAATATGTATGAATATTTCTTCTTTTAGAAAAAAATGGGCTCAAACTACTCCATACTGTTCTGAAACCACCTTTTCTCTGCTTACTAATATACTATGGTCATCTTTCTAATGCATGGGTATTCTTAAAGGAGGGGCAAGCCGAGAGTTACAGCTCCACCACGGACAGAACCCTTTACAGGAAAAACAGTAACAGGCACAAGGACAACTTAGTTATGGTGGTCCCTAAAAATACTAACATGTCCCAGGTGGCCAGCCCAGCCCCAAAATTTAACCAATGCTTCTGACAATAGATAAGTTTATACTGTCTCAGAGTCCCAGTTTCTTCTTCTGTAAAATATAAATAATAATAGTATCTCGCTCACCAGGGCTATTGTGGGAAAAAGATGAAACATATAAAGTGCTTAAGCCGAGGACATAGTAAATATTCAATAAATAATTTAAAAATAATTATTGCTATTACTGTTTTTAGGAAAAGAAAATTGGAATATGTGAAAGCATTTTAAAAATGGAAAGTCCCTTTACAATGTGGCTTTCAACCAGAAGTAAAGTACAAGAAGAGGAGAGAAGCACAGGTGAAGGACAGGAAAGGCAAGCTTTAAACAGCAACCTGTCTTAAACTGTCCCCAGCAAAAGCACCTCAAAAGGAGGATGTCAGTCCCAGGTGGACACACATCCAAGGTAGGTAGATACCTTGCAATCTGTACTTACACCTCTTCCACATCTGTATAAAGAGACCTTTACCTCTTCATAGGAACTGGCTCCAAAGAAACCTTAAAAATGCGGGGAACAGCTCATCCATTCAGCCCAGCAGCCTTTTTCTAATAAAAATGTGTATATGGGAGATAGATGCCTTTCCTAACATGAAAAACACCTTATCCTCAGCACAAGGAAATCACTTTGGCAGGGAAGGCAATCAGAAGACAATAACCTGGTCTTTGATGAGCTCCACTGCAGACTCCTCAAGATCCAACTCGTAGCACAACCTCATGAAAAGTGGTCCAAACTTATACTCTCCCAGTGTGACATTTCTGTTCTCTACATAGTACCTGTTAATAAAAATGATTCAATGAGCCAAATGGTGGGACGCAGGGAAAGGAACTGACAGGCCGAGACATGCACTTGGCTAGGTGTTGGGGACACACAAAAAATGAGGTACTCTCACAGTCTGGAGGGGAAGCTTGCAGACTGAAGATAATCAGAGGAATCCTGGAGTGCAGAAATACCTTAGGTACTTAAGTAAACAAATAAATAAACAAGGTGTGTTGGAGGCCCACTCACTCTGTAAAATAAAAGAGAGGAAAATGTACATTGTAATCATCTTCTCACTTTACCAACAACCCAATAGGACTGACTGAGTGGGAGCATATGTCAGAGAAGAGCAGGGGTCTTGCATCTGTGAGCCCATCAGAATGCGCTGTCTCTGTACAGGCCCAACTAGAGAGGAGCAAGATAAGGGGTGGGGTGCTGCTCTGTCCCTGTCAAGGCTGCTTCATCTACATCTAGGATGGCAGATAATCCTCACCTTGGGAAAGACATATGTGAGCTAAAAATTCAGGTTTAGGAAAAGGCAAATTTCAAAGAGAGTGGCTTGAGATTTCTTCCGGAGGCCAGCCTGCCAGTTAGAACCACAGCTCTGCAAACTGCTAGCACCACTTCACTTTCAATAGCCAACTCTTTGTGCTTTAGACACAAATTACATGTAAATCAAATTACATGTAAATCAGATTTGAGAAAGATTCATTCACTATGTGAATAAATCCCAAATACCACAGGGACAGTTCTGACTTTAAAAAACAGAATACTCATCAATCCAAGAACTTGTATGCATATAAGCATAACCCATGGACACAGACAACAGGGTGGTAAAGGCCTGGGGCAGGGGCAGGCTAGAAGGGGTCAATGGGGAACAAAAGGGGGACATATGTAATACTTTCAACAACAAAGATTTAAAAAATAAATAAATAACAGAATATTCTTTAACCTGCTGAAATCACCGAGGAAGGTCATAGTCCATCCTAAGCTTATATACTGCCAAATAGAATGGCAATGTGTACTTTGGTACAAATGTACAAAGGTACATTTCAAATTCCAATTACAGAAGCTACAAAAATATTCATTGCTTCATTACAAAGTTAAGAATTAAGTTATATCAAAGTATCAAGTTGTTACATCTTAAATATATATCATTTTTGTCAATCATACTTCAATAAAACTGGAAAAATAAGTTATTAAAAGGCAATATAGCCAAAACCGGTTTGGCTCAGTGGATAGAGCGTCGGCCTGCGGACTGAAGGGTCCCAGGTTCGATTCCGGTCAAGGGCATGTACCTGGGTTGCGGGCACATCCCCAGTGGGAGATGTGCAGGAGGCAGCTGATCGATGTTTCTCTCTCATTGATGTTCCTGACTCTCTATCTCTCTCCTTTCCTCTCTGTAAAAAATCAATAAAATATATATTAAAATAAAAGGCAATATAGTGTAATAAATAAGGATTTTTAAACTCTCATTCCAAAATATCAGTTCAAATCCCAGCTCTGTAACCATGAGCAGATTAATCACTGTGGGCTCCAGTTTCCTTATCTGTAAAATGGAGCTAAGAAGAGAACTCAGAGTTTTTGTGAGGATTAAATGAGGCAATATGCCTGGCACACAGCTAGTCTTCCATATAAAATATAAGACACGCTGAGGAAAACATCTTTAAAAATCAATATATCTCAGTAAATAGTCTCATGAGAAACTTATGCCTGATTCAAAACAAAACAAAAAGAAAAGTTTTCTCAATTTTAATGACATTCGTTCTAATTAAAAGTCCTAGAAAGTCACAGAGATAATGTATCACCTTCTGGTTCCAGTTAGAGGATCTAAAAATCCCTCTGTAAACCAATATGGTCAATATTAGGATGGGATTGGGTTGCTCATCACTTTTGGCCCAATAAAGGCCTTATATTTCAGCTCCCTATACTTCTTCCCAGCTGTGGGCCGCCTGTCTCAGAAGAGAGGAGATGGGTTGGTTAGGCCCTGGCCCACCCATCTTCCCACTTGCCCAGCTGTCCACAAGTAGAGTGAAGGGCAGCAACTGAGCAGAGAGTATTAGCATCAATAAAGGAAGGATGAGTCATACTTTGAATGTTCACAAGAAAAACAGAGTGGAAAGAGTGTTCAAATTTTTATCCTGCTTTATTTCTCTTTTAAACATCTGATAGCTTTGGGTAGTAAAGCTATCCAGAGGGTCTTAAATGATTCAACTACATAAGATTATTTTCTTTACATAGCCTACAACTGTTATTTTTAATGATTTTAACTTAATCATTACAAATAACAGAATTAGGTTTGCTGGTATAGTGTGATTATAAACCACAATAAATTTCAGAAAATAACCTGGCAGCTTATCCTGACAACCTTTACAATGTTCACTCCCTCTGAACCCAAAAAGGAAATAAAGAACAAGTTTTATGCGTACAGTTTCACCAGTATAAATCATGGCACTATTCATACTGATGAAAAGTTAGAAATCATTTAGACATTCAACAACAGAGGCACAGTTAATTAAAATACCAAACATACAATGCAATATGGTATATGCTTTAAAATGTGGTTCCTAAGCATATGATTAACAAGCAAAAACACTTATGCTATAATACTAACTAGAAAACAAAAATATATATATTTTTTTCACAGTAATAATTACAACTATGTAAAATAGATCCTATCAAAATCATAATATCTTTGTATGAAAATAATTGGTAGGGATGTATTTTCTATCTGCAGTCATAAATCCACGATGTTAATTTACAACTTAAGTCTATGTGAATTTTCGGCGCCCCAAGTCCTGTGTTGTTCAAGGGTGAAGAGTATATCAAGATATTAACAGTGGTTTCTTAGAAGTGGTAGATAAGCCCAAAGAGGGCCACCATTAATTCCTCCTCTCCCTGCATGAGCAAGCTGCTCCATCCATCCATCTAGAGGTGGAATCCTTTCCCCTCCCTGTGAATCTGAGCTGGCCGGACACTTGCTTTGACCAAGAGAATGTATCAGAAATGAAGCTGTGCCACTACTGGGCAGCTCTACAAGGCCTGCAGCTCCCACTTGACCATGGGCTAGTGCAGCTCAAGCTAGACTCACGAATGGTGAGACACTACAAGGAGAGGGCCAGGTGGAGGAGCACTGAGGCATCGGGAATGCAGGTGAAGCCTTCTTGGACCTTCCAGCTCAGCCCAGTGACCTGCAGATGAGCAAGTGACTTTAGTCTACTACACCAACAAAGAACCGTCCAGCTGAGACGGGCCTCAATTCCTGACCCACAGAGCTCTGGGAAATAATAAATAATGGCTGTTTAAACCACGGAGTGGTTTGTTACGCAGCTAGAGACACCTGAAACAGAACTTGGAATATATTGTTCTTCCTACTTTTTTGGTGTTTTTCTGTACTTAGTTTTTAAATGTCCTTTTTAAAAATAACATTAATTTTTTCACATTATAAAATTGCTAATGTTCACTATAGACAAGTTGGAGAAATCAGAAAGTACACATTTAGACAAACAAAAAATGTAAAATGTGTAATTCCCAGAGAACCACAGTTAACTTTCGGTATATATTCTTCCAGTATTCTATATATGAATACCTTATCTTTATCCCTATAAATGTATAATATAAATGCAGGCCCATGTATGGAAATATATCTTTAAAGAATGGTGAAAAGAAGCAATGAACTTAATTTCTGAAATGAAGCCCATATTTTCTCCCAAGGGAGCAAAACCTTTGCTGGATTTCTTAACAGCAGACTATGATTTTGTGTGAGCTCCTTCTGACATGGGAAACTCTGACAAGGGATCAGACACCACAGAATAGGCATACGCCTGGAAAAGGGAGACTAGTTAGGAATCCACTGGTCATCCATGCGAGAGACACTGAGGCCTGAACTAAGACACTGGGAACAGGGACAGAGAGAGCAAGGCTAGAGATGAGAGACACCAGGAATGTGGAAGCAGTCGGATTTCTTATCCTGTCAGGGAGGGAAACAAACGAGATTAGGGGAAAGAAGCTCACAGATATCTGCCCTGAGTGACTGGTCAGTGCAATAGAAAACACAGCAAAAGGAAGAAATTTGTGTAAGTTGAATGTGAAGACCTAAGGGACGTCTAAGTGGAGTTAGTGAGTATACTGCTGATTTCTTGGGGAATGTATTACCTGTTTTTCTATCCCAGCACCTGGCATCTGGTAGGAACCCAGTAAGTGTTTGCTAGAAGAATGAATATAAATGTCTAGAGCCCAGGGCAGGCATCTGGACAAGAGATTTGGCAGTCATCGGTGATGCCTAAACCTTGGAAGTTGCTCAGGAAACAGAACACAGTAAGAAGAGACAAAGACTGGCAGAATTCTAAGGAAATGCCTCACCTGTAAATGACATGTTTAGCCAGTTCCACATCATCGCGGGACTCACATAAATGAAGTAAGGTTCTCAGCTCCTCCTTTAAGATGAGCTTGTTCTGGGTCAATTTCTCCTCCAAGCTGCTCAAATAGGTTTCTGGAAGAAAGTACAGTAGGGTGACCATCACTGAGGTTGACTGGGAGAAAGGGAAGCCAGAACCTGACACACCAAAAAGGGGCACTGAGAGGGGCTCACAGCCTCGCAGCTCCCATCATGGGCCCTTGAGTAGTGTCATGTGGGGCGCGGCTATAGGGTTAAGCCTCGGAATGACCTGTTGGCAAAGTCACAAACAAGTCCCAGTTTAGAGGGCATAGTCCTCTTAGCATAATTAGGCTTGACCTTATGACTCTCCCTAGATCTTATCTGGGAAGCTAATAGGCTGAGGGAGGTGCAGCAAGAGCTACCAAAACAAGTGAAACTCACAAGAACAGTGTAACTATGGTAACCACTACCTTGTTTACCTCTGACTATAAAATAAAGGCTCAGCTTGCCTCTGGATCTCTCTCTGTGGCCTCAGCCAGGCACAGGAGGATCCACCTAGAATAAAGAGAGAACCTGGCTATGCTGATCATCTGAACGCTGTCTCCGTGTCCTTCATTCTTCGCCGACTCTGTCCACACCTTTGGGAACCCTTGGACCACTGGGGCTGGACCCCGGCAGTGTCGGAGATGGTGTGTGACACAAAGTATCTGGGTCACAGGGGCAAAGTCCAGGCCCCACTCAAGACTGTCCAACACAGAATCTCTGGGAACAGGAGCACAAGAATATGTATTCTATATAATAAAAGCATAGTATGCAAATTGTCCCCTCAACTGGGAGTTTGTCCGGGAGTTCGACCAGGGGGCGGAGCTGGCCGGGGGAAGGGAGGGAGGCCCTGGCCAGCAGCCGGCAGCTGCTAGGGACCCTACCAGTACATGAATTTTGTGCACTGAGCCTCTAGTTTTTTTAATATCTGATAATTCTTATGCACACTAGTTTGAAAGTATCCCAGAGGTTTAGCCCAAAGAACTGTATCTATAGGAGACTTATGAGAGAGAAAAAAGAAAGAAAATGTAACCAAGATATCTAAACCATTAATTGGCAGGGCACCTAGCAGGAAGACTGAAAGGAAAATGTCCACAACATGTTTCAGAAATAGTCTGTCTCGCTTTCATTTGGCCCATCTTTGCCTCTCTTTCATTCCTCTTGGTCTCTCTCTACTCAGTTGTTAGCATACTGCGGGACTATAGAATGCATAGGGGTAAATAAAAAAGTCACTCTTTTCAAGGTGATCATACTCTGTCTCTGTCCCTTGTCTTGTGTCTGATCAACTGTGGGGACCATCACACCCCAAAAGGAAACATAGCTTCTTGGCATTAGGAAGGAACTGTATTCTCACCAGAATGCGGGGTGAGAGGCAAGGCAGGCACCAAAAGGCAGAGCCGTTTTTAGTAACAGAAACTGCCAAGAAAAGTCCACAGGATTTGCTCCAAGGCTCAGAGCTTTGCAGGAATGCTGCTTAAAGAAGTGGCACAATATACATTGAAAATGCAAGATCTGGAAGTTGAGGCAGACACTGCTCTGGATTTACAAGAAAAGAAGGCCCACTGGGTTTGATACTGTAGTGGACCATCCCATCTTTACTTGCAGAACCACATAATGGTTAAAAGTTTTAGCGACAGAAGGACCTGGACTGAAATCTAGGCTCTGTCACTTGCAGGCTATGAGGTGACCCTTGTCTGTGAGACCTGATTCCTTGTATGTAAAGTTAGGATCATGACACCTACCTCATGGGGTTATCCTGAGACAATATACATGAAGCATTTAGCACAGAGCCAGCAGAGTAACTGCCAGTAAGTCACAGACATTATTGTTCTTATTTTCATTCCTTCTATTTCTTCTTAGAGTTAAGAGGATTTGTTCTATTAAATAGTTTTAAATAATTTCCAATATAAAAGATTTCAATGGGATGACTTTACGTCTTGTACTTCTTTATCCTTTTTTTGTTTTGTTTTTTGTTAATCCTCACCAGAGGATATTTTCCCATTGACTTTTAGGGAGAGACACAGAGAGAGAAGCATCGATGGGAGAGAGACACATGGATTGGAGGCCTCCTGCATGCGCTCCTGACCAGGGCTCCGTGCCCTTGACTGGAATCAAACCCAAGACCCTTCAGTCCTAGGGCTGACGCTCTATCCACTGAGCCAAACTGGCTAGGGCCTTGTAAGTCCTTCTTAATAAACCTTAAGAATCCAAAATTTCAACAGATGTAATTTGTATTTTAAAACTAACCAATCAAGATGTAAGTGCTTATCACATATTCATACACAAGAGGTATGGCTCCTACCCTGAAAGAGCAAAGTCTAGTCAAGAGGACAAGATATATTTATAGAAAGTTACCTGAAACAGTGATGGATTTGGTAACACATGACTGACTATCTATTCTACATAATAAAAGCCTAAGCAACCATTACGGCTGAACGGCCAGAATGACAGGTCGCTATGATGTGCACTGAACACCAAGGGGCAGATGCTCAATGCAGGAGCTGCCCCTGGTGGTCAGTGTGCTTCCACAGAGGGAGCGCCGCTCAACCAGAAGCCAGGCTCACGGCTGGTGAGTGCAGTGGCAGTGCTAAGGAGCAGCGAGCAGGCAGGTGGTAAGGAGCGAGGGGTCCTAGACTGCGAGAGGGATGTCCACCTGCTGGCTTAGGGCCTCCCTTCCCTGGCTGCCAGCCAGGGCCTTCCTTCATTCCACGCTGTCCCCTGGTGGCCAGCGCACATCATAGCGAGCAATCGGTCTCCCTGTCAAACTCCCATGAGGATAATTTGCATGTTAGGCTTTGATATATATAGATGATTAGCAGAGAAGGAAGACTGATTTCCAGAGGGCTGGACTGTGAGTGAAGAGAAGCAAGAAGTGTTAAATAGGTGCTCTTAAACAGTTGACAGTAAAGGAAGAAGAGCTAAAAAAAATGAATAAAGAAAATAAAAGAGTAACTAAAAGAGAGGAGAGAGGAGTCTTGCTGTGTTTATAAAGGGATTTAAAGGACTGGGAAAAAACTCAGTGTGCAGGAGAGGGGGAAAGAATGCAACAAGATTTCTCAGATGCTGAAAAGGACTAGGACTTACGTGGTGGTGTTGCATTTTTAGCTTTTTATAATAAAAGTTTTCAAACTACCTAAAAGTAGTTTGACCTCCCATGTGCCCATCACCCAGCCTCAATAATTGTCAATATTTTGCTAAGGTTTAAAATAAATCTTTGTTTTAGCCTATTGACTTTTCCAGCACAGGGTAGAAAATATGAACATGTATCATCACATGTAGCACTGTTTTGTTTCATTTTATTGCATTTATATATAGTTATGTATGTGGGGACTGGAGATGTAACATAAAGTGTATTTACTAAGGGTTTCATCAAAAAGTTTGAACACCAGTCATCTGGAGCAGTTCTTCTTGGACTTCATTGTGCATACAAGTCATCTAGGGCCTGAGGTTTGGCATTCCAATCAACCTTCCAGTGGCTGCTGATCCATGAACCTTTGAGTGGCATGGATCAGGAGGACTGGTTTTAGTATTTCTCTGGGATTCTGGGTGAAGGAATAAAAGGAGAGCTGTAGACTCTGCAGTAGTAGAGAATGAGATGAAAGGTGCATGTCAGGGTAGACTAGGAAACTAAGAACAAGTCATCTCAATTTTTCTGAGACATTGAAGGAGAGACTGAACAGGGACAGAAATAAAGAAAACTTGAATGACAGAACAATGTAAGAATTAACAAAACAGATTCAATTACCTCTGGTACCAGGAAGACTGTACGCAATAGCCACCTTCTTTTGCTGAAATTCTTTCAATTTCACAACATTATCTGTAAGTAGATATCTTTTAGCTAAAAAATAGAGAAAGAAAAGACTAATATCATTTTGACTGTTTTATACTTGGCAAATAACAGGACTGTCTCTAATAACTGATTCACTTAGTGTAAATAATTCATCTAGATAGGTACAAATATAACAGTCACCCTGGTGGGGGGGAAAACCATCTCCAAATACCAGATAATGCAAATCCTCAGCAAGACACGTTATGTTTATGTGTGCAAAAGGAGCTAATGATTGTGTATGGGGATGGGATGCAGGGATCTGGGATCTGAAAGACAAATAGACTTTCACCATCTGGTTAAGGGACAACAAGGGGATTTTAAAACAAACAAACTTAAGGCTATTGTTTAAATGCAAAACAGGAATATCTCATTTTGGTTTATGTAGGTAGAAGCATGCAGTGCAGTGGAAAAAGCTATAGCGTGACCACTGGAATCCCCAGGCCTGTCATTTGTGAAATGAGGAGTATGGCCTCTCGCATGTGGACTCTCAGTAACCTCAAGATAGATCAGAAACCACTAGCCACAGCTTAGCAGAAAAGATGAGTTTGGGAAACATCACTTCTTTAGGATGCCAGGCTGTGGCCAAAGAATCTACCACCAAAAGAAGCTCTGGGCACTGCACTGAAAAGGTAACAAAAACGATTGCTGTATGGAGAGCCAGTCCCCATGAAGGGTGGCAGCAGAACTCTACTGTGGGGCTGCCTGTGTTCAAATCCCTCCCCTCCCAGTTCCCTCTAACCTCGGGCACATGAGCCATTATACTTGCTGTTTCCTCCCCTGTCAATGGAGAAAAGAATGGTACCCGGTCACTGGGCGTTGTAAGGAGAAAAGGAATGTCTGTAAATACATTAGAATAATGCCTGATACAAAGGGTTCCATACTGTATCCCTCATCGGCATTTTCAAGTTCATTTTCACGAAGAGATGAAGGGATAACTAATTGTAGGGATGAAGGAACCTGTTCAAGGTCTTTCCGATCGATCGATCGATAGCTGCAGAGCTGGGACTCTGCCCCCCAACTCTGCCAGGCCCCGCCCCCCAGAGGGGTGAGCAACGTCGCCCCCTCCGAGGGGATGCCGCAGCGCCAAGGTCAAGACCCCGGCCCGGTTGTCCTTTGGTTCCCAGGCACGTGGGTGTCCACGACACCCAGGGGTCATCGTGGCACACACGCGCGAAGCCACGCTCGTCTGCTCCAGGCCAGTAAGTGGCCGTGGCGCTGATGCTTCTCCAACGTGATGCCCGCTGAGGTGTAAAGGTCCCTTTGGCCCCATCCCTCCCCGCCTTCACGGCGCGAGCCCGCGGATACCTCCGAGGGGGCAGCGGCAGCCGGCGGAGCCAGAGCCTCCCACCCCAGCACACAGCAAGGCCCGCAGCGCCCGCAGGACGGCTTGCTTCCGAGGCCGGAGTGCGACAGCCATGCCGTCCCGGGCCGCACCAACTGCGGGAGCCGGGGGGGGCGGAGCGTCGGCGCGCCCGGGGCCCCACCCCTTCCTCCGCCTGCCACCCCCCCGGTCGGCGGCCGCCTTGGTAGAGTCCAAGATGGCGGCCCCCATGGTGCGGCACGGGGTCCTCCTGGCGCGGAGAGTGCCTCTGCCTCACCTCTCCCTGGCAGGTTGGTGGCTGCTGCCTTCGTGGGACTGCTCCGTTAGATCCCTGAGAACCCTGTTCCTTGAGTGAAAGCAGCGATGGGCTTGGAAGAGGAGAGGGAATGCTCTGGGGTCTCGTTGCTGGAGAAGTCCTGGGGAGTGTTCGGTAGCACAGCACGGGGAGGCAGCGTCTCCGGCCCGTCTCTGTTTGTAAAGTAATAATAGTGTCTCCCATCCACAGGGGTAACGAGCAGAGAACGTCTGGCCTGAGCGCTTTTGCCTATGACTGGCTGGGTCTGTGTCAGGGTGGCTGCCTTCTGCTGAACCTGAAAAGCCCCGATGTGTCCCCCCCGGGCTCTGAACATGGTCTCCCTGCAGGTTTCCTCGGAGGGGCGTCCTAGCGGCCCCTTCACCGCGCACAGGGGCCAGAGCCCCGGGTTCGGCTGGTGGGAGTTCTCAGCTCACTCTATCTGATGACCTTGGGCACAATTTTCGATTGACCTTCCTTAGCTGGTCTTCTACCTGTAGGCAATGAATGCTGATAGTTACTTCTAAAGCACTTCGATATGAGTGGATGGCAGCCCACCCAAAACCTGTTTCGTGGATAAAGACGTGGGGAAAAATATTTTTTAACATTTTCAGAAGCTAAATCCTGATAAGTGTACATGATTAAGTGGTTAAAATAAGCCCAGTCGATGTTTCAGTGCCTGTTATCTCCTCTTTCCAACATTCCTCCTGTAGCCCCTATAGAAAGGCAGCACATACACTCCTGCTCACACTTCTTCGGGAGCAGCCATTAAATATCAACGTGAGGTCACAAGTTGGCCGCCCGAAGTTTTCTGAGGATGAACTGGTTGGCCTAGCTGGTAAAAATATTTAATATTTAATGTACAGTGGTATGCATAGTGCCTGGCATCTCAAGCGGTTGTAGCTATTTACAAGCATATTTAGTGATGCTTGTCTATGTTTCAATGTCAACAAGACTTTAGATGGTCTATTAGGGAGGGTATTGTGGTTGCTTAGAATGTCTGGGGACAACCATTCATTCTAACAAGGGAATGGTGATTAGATAAGGGAGAGAATTTGTAGTTAGCATTTTGGTCTTTATTTGAACTGGTGAACTTGCAGTAGGTTATACACCTGTGCTATTCCATGGTGGTAGCTACTAGCTGCCTATGGCTATTTAAATTATTGAAAATTAAATAAAATTTAAAATTCAGTTTCTTAGTCACACCAGCTATAGTTTAGGGGTTCACTAGACACCTGTGGCCAGTGACTACTGTATGGGGACAGCTGAGAGTTGAACATTTCCATCATTACAGAAAGTTATATTAAACAAGCACTGGGTTAGGCCATAGATCAGTGGTTCTCAATCTTCCTAATGCCGCGACCCTTTAATACACTTCCTCATGTTGTGGTGACCCCCAACCATAAAATTATTTTCGTTACTACTTCATAAATGTAATTTTGCTACTGTTATGAATTGTAATGTAAATATCTGATATGAAGGATGTATTTTCATTGTTACAAATTGAACATAATTAAAGCATAGTGATTAATCACAAAAACAATATGTAATTATATATGTGTTTTCCGATGGTCTTAGGCGACCCCTGTGAAAGGGTCATTCGACCCCCAAGGGGGTCTCGACTCACAGGTTGAGAACCGCTGCCATAGATGAAAGGAGTCTTGAAATGAGGAAATGGAGGCTATAGGCAAGTAATATAAATAAGTAGGATAGTGCATTATAGACCATTCCAGATTTGAAAATGCTGATAAGGAGCCTGACTTGAAGTCATCAAATCATCTTGAACCATTACAGGATAAGAGAGGAAAAATAGTCTACTTTGTACAAACTCACAGCAAATGCATTGTTCTGTCCAACTTTATAGAAATTCTTTGATTCCAGTGTTAATATATAGACCTTCCAACTACTATACAGAGATGGAAAGAACTTTAAATGGTGTCATTTATAAAGCATCTCAGAAAGATGAACATCCTGCTTTTAAAGGCTTACAGAAAATGGAATGTCTCTCTTTCTTAAGGTGTGGGATAGAGCCCATCTGTGTTCTCTAAACTTTGAAATTCTGATCCTTGGAGGTATTTTTTTCAGAATTAAATGGAAAAATATTTCCTTTAGTGGATAGTTAAGTTAGAGAATGGTTGTGTTAAAAATTGACTGGCTGAAGGATAAGCAGGTTACCAAATTACCACAAATTTGGTGGCTTAGAACAATGCAGATTTATTATATTACAGTTCTATAGGTCAAAAGTCTGACACAGGGTCTTGCTGTGCTAAAATCAAAGTGTTGAAATGTTGGGGTCCAGCCCCAGCAGGTCCAGGGGTTCCCAAAGGTGTGGACGGAGTCGGCGAAGAAGGAATGACACGGAGACAACGTTCAGTTGATCATCATAGCCAGGTTCTTTTTTTATTGTCCTGTTACATCTGTATTTATACCATTTGATCCTATAAGCACGCCTCTATAATCACATCATGGTATGTTTTTGGTAACCTACAGTTCCTTGTTTCATTTCCATAGTTTCTTATCTGACCTTTGCCAAAAATCCTGTCTCTATCTAGTTCTGTTGATTTTAATTTTGTCTAGGTTAATCTCTGTGTTCCATTATAAGGGCTATTCCAAGATCACTATTCTACTGCTCTACTGATAAGCTACAAGGAAGTGACTGAAGGAGATTCTCCTACCCAGTAAAGGTTATGTCCTCCCAGCCCTGCTGCTTGCCTTCCCTGGGACTGCCCTGTGTCGGTGGGTCTCCAGGGATATAGGCTTTGGTGCTTTCCCTGGTGGGCAGACCCCTGGGGATGTGGGCCCAACAAGTCCCAAATTTATTGCCAGCAGTCTTAGTCCAAGTTCTTCATATGTAGTACACGGTATTTCTGTAACACTAGGGGGTTTCACTGATTTATTCTCTTCCTTAGTCCTGTTAATCCCTAACGGCAGGGAAAAATCCCCACCTGGGGAAACAACCTTTCTCAGGGAGGTGGTTCTGGTTATAACACATAGCGCTAAAAAAGGGGGAGCAAACATATTAAGAACAGTATGCCGTATATGCCAGGTGCCTTGAAACATATGCTGTGCAGATATGTTTCTTCCCTGAAGCGACAAGCAACAAGGATGGACCGGACCGGCCTCCGGCATTGAAAGTGATGTAGAATCTGCTTCCATGCCTTTTCTATCTTTTAAGAACCATCTGCATTCCTTGGCTGATGGTCCCTTTCTCAAATATCTTCAAAGTGAGCAATGGCAAGTCAAGTCCTTATGTCACTCTTTATATCCTTTACACATCACTCTAAGGACCTGACACCCTCTTCTAGCCATCGTCACAAGCAATTTAGGACATTTTCACTACCTCAAAATACAAAACAAAACAAAAGCAAACAGTAAATTACTCCTCAACTTCCCTGAAGTTTTCCTGACCCCTAACCCTCCAAATCTAGGCAATCACTAATCTGCTTTCTGTTTCTATAGATTTGTCTATTATGGACTTTTCCTATAAATGTAATTATATAAAATTTGGTCTTTTGTGACTGGCTTCTTTTTCACTTAGCATTATGTTGTAGAGATACATCCATGGTGTAGGCATGTATCTACTTCATTTCTTTTTTTTATTGCCAAATAATATCCCATTATAAGAATATACCACCATTTTATGTACCTATTCATCATATTTGCATTGTTTCCACTTTGGGGCTGTTATGAATAATATTGCTGTGAACATTTTATACAAATTTTTGTGTGGAAACATACTTTCATTTTTCTTGGGTATATACCTAGGAGTGGAATTGCTGGGTCGTATGGTAACTTCATGTTTATGTTTTAAGGAACTGACAAACTTTTCCAAAGTGGCTGCACTACTTTACATTTGTACCTGAATTGTAAAGGGTTCCAGTTTTTCTATATTTATATCAACAACTGTTACTATCTGTCTTTTTTATTATAGTCACTCTAGTGGGTGTGAAGTGGAATTTCAATGTATTTTGCCTTTCCCTAATAGCAATACTAAACATCTTTTCATGTACTTGCTAGCCATTTGCATGTATGTATATATGTTTGTGTGTGTGCATATAATTTAATGGAAACAAATGGTTCCTGGTCCTAAAGTTATAGGAACAAAATTACCAGCATTTCTACCCATAACATTTTTATTGTATAAATTTTCAGCTCTCTGTACCTTTTTGTTTTGTTTTGTTTTGGTTTTGGTTTTTTTTGTTTGTTTGTTTTCTTTATCTTATACTTGTTAGAGGTTGAGCGTTAGTCGGGAACTGAATTGTTAACTGTGCAATATTGGTTACAGTACCATGTTACAATCTTTAAATCTAGTAAATTGAACATATTACAAAGATATGTTTAATGAAACAGTCATATAAACTAAACCTGTTGTGAAACCATGAATGTTGAGATAATTGTCTTTTTTCCTCAGGTAAAAGGTGTCTGCTTTCTGCAGCATACGTGGACAGCCAGAAATGGGAAGCAAGAGAAAAAGAAGATTGTCACCTCGGTAGGTACCTGTGTGTCATTCGCAGTCACTCCATGTGTTTATGATAATATATTCATACTAGAGGCCCAGTGCACAGATTTGTGCACCAGTGGGGTCCCTCGGCCTGGCCTGTGGGGATCAGTGGACCTTCGTGTCGCCGCAGCCCAGCCTTACCTACCAGCTCGTTGGGCTCCAGCCCACTGTCCACCTTGATCCTGCACAGCACAAAGTAGTGCGTCAAGTGGCAGGTGGCCAGGGAGGAGCCTGGGCTGGGCTGGGCACTGTGCCGTTCCTGCTCATCCTGCCCCCGCTGCACACCTGCTGCTGCCACCGCTCGGGCATGTAGGGGGAGTGTC